GGGGGGGGGGGGGGGGAATTCGGGGATGTGAAGTTCCCCCCATCTAAATGTGGCCAAGGTTGAGAAACACTGGTATAAACCAATGCAAATAGGAAACAGAAAAAGAAAATAAAAGAATAAAGCACCAAGCAGTAAGCAAGGATTCTAAAAATGTCAAGGAGGGTATAGTTTTCCTGATATATCATTAGTAAATTACGAATGGTTGAATATATCACTTTAAATGACTAAAAATCGTCATGATGCTTTAAGCAATTTGATGCATATCACCCCATAAAATTATAAGCTACAGTAGATTGAGTCAAAACTGAAAATCTGTTCTGTCCTCACAGCCATGAGGTTGAGGTATGAAGTCGATGGATAAAAAACCCCAAATTTGGGATGGGTTTCATGTTTGTTTATTAAGTAAATATAGATGGCTGTCCATCTCGTAAGTTTTTTATCTGTTTTTATGGATTTTTTTTCTAGTTTTGTACACCGCCCACTGTAGTTGGGGGGCTAATAAATTCAAGCAAAGGAGTAAACAAATAAAATAGAGCCAACAATTAAAAACAATTTTTTTACATATAAACATATGTAACATATAAACATATAAAACATATAAACATATATGTAACATATAAACATATAAAACCACCCATTTTTTTTTAACAAAACCAATAACCTAGAGAACATTCAAAATCTCCTACATTCAAATCAACCATAAAATGGGCTCACCCGAACAGCCAGGGATCCAGGCTAGATGGCAAAGTCAGGTTTTTAATGCCTTGCGAAAATTAAATTCTGTTATAGTCCAGGGGAAAAAAAAAACTTCCAAAATCTCAAAGAGGGGGTGGGAAGGGTAGATCTTATATGGATTGGGTGTGTTTCCCGAGGTGTGGGGACTCTCAGCCCCCTTGCCATCCAACCCTAAAGCCATGTAGGACTTTAAAGATGTCAAGTAGCTGGGCAAGTTGGAGGAAGCAAAAATTGCACGATTTCTGGAAGGTATCTAAAGCGCCAATAATTGCAAAACCCCAGAAGTTGCAAGAAGAATTTCCACCCTCAGGTATAGTGGGTTCATTAAAGGGAATTCTTTGAAGGATCTGAAATTTTCTTCCCAGGTTTTGGGGGTGTTTTTTGGCCAGTTGGGCCGAGATCCTTTTAGGGGATCAGCTACCAGTGGATTTATCCATCTCCTAATTTCGTATATCTACTCCAGTGTTTCTCAATCTTGGCAGCTTGAAGCTGTGTGGACTTCAACACCCAGAATTCCCCAGCCAGCAT